CCCAAATTATGCCACCGTCATCGCTCGACAAGGTTGCCCAGCACCGCAAGACAACCTGCTCCGGACAGACCTCGTCTCGCACGCGCGAAAGCTCTCCTGGTCTCCAATCGAGCTTCGTCCCCCCCCCCGGACAGGGAAGCGCAGGGCACGACAAGGCAGGGCTTGACAAGGGAACCTGTGGCGGCTATCCTTCCACTCCACACATGCATGCCCTTGGAGACATTGGACGATATAACACACTGGCCGGGCCCACGACTAAGTGTTCCGTCCTCTGATCTTCCGTCACTGAGCACTACGTCGGGAGCTAAGTTTCTATAACGAGAATATAAGGACCCTCCAGATTCGATAGCTGCCGTGGCAAGCTACTTTTCGTTGAGGATAGCATGGCTTACTCGGTCTTCACGCCGTCTTATTAATACTTCCTCACCCCAGCAAATACCATTCGCCAACATCTGTCTGCTAGTTCCTGCCAACGGCTCCCCCACCAACTTTTTTCTTACCCAAAACGCCAGACCAGACACCCTACCGCAGATACCCAACCCACGCCTACTCCTGCCACTTCACGATCAAATTCGACAGCCTTTTAGAATTCCGCTATTGCAAAGACGAATGGTAGCTACGCTCACACCATCGGGCCGAACGCAAAAGCCTTTCGCCGTCCTATCTTCACGGCCTCGGCCGCCCCGGCTGGCCGTAAGCCTACGCAACGTCTCACCAACAGGAACAGCAGCAAACCCCCAACGCCCGTCCAACGCAGCCCGAGAGGGCCTCCGCTCAGCCAATTCTTTCTCTTCAGGTTCCGGCGACCGTCCAGAGCGGTTCGCTCTGGCGGGACCCATGCATTGGAGGCACGCTGGCGGGCCATTACCGGGTAGGGGACTACAATGTCGATTACTCGGCACAAGACTCGCATCAAGTCGAGCAGAGTCACCAGCAACACAACTTTGATCCCTCCCCCCATCAGCACCCACGAACCTCTCTCCATCATGGCGGTGGTACATCCCATGGCCTGCCCGAGCCGCAGCAGGGCCACCACCAACATCACCACCACCACCACACCGCCATGGCCCAGCACCATAGCCACAACCCTCACCAGGTGCTGATGGATCCATCGCACATGGGGCGAA